GATCAGAAGAGTCTCAAATGAGCTTGAATCAAAGGTTGCTATGGGAAATACACCTACTCTGGATTACAGTAACATCTTCCTCCAGTTCCAGAGGATGTTCCACTGTCCATCCAGCTTCCAAATCCAGTCATAATTTTATGGGTGCATTTTATGGCTCTTATTTCTTAGTCTATTTGGAGAGGGGAGTGGGAAAAGTTATCTTAGACCAAGAGTGTCAAACTCAATTTCATTGAGGGCTGCATCAGGGCTGTGGTTGACCTGGGGTGGGTGTGTGGGCTTGGCCAACTGGGTGGGTGTGGCCACCTTGATGCCACTCACTGGGTATGGCTAACTGGGTGGGCATGGCCGACTGTGTGGCCGGGCTAGCTGGATGCCGCTCCCCAAACTCCTGGTATATTTCCTCTTTGCATTGGGTTGACCAGTCCAAAGTCTCACGGGCCGGCCCCTTACATTTTCCAGGACGCCCCCATGGGCCGGATCCGACCACGGGCTTTGTGTTTGACACCCCTGTCTTAGACTAATAGTTTATAAAGACCTAAATAATTGATTTTGTACTCTGTCGTTCCAATTAAGAGACTCAAAGCAACTAAAAATTGGATGAAGTAAAATAAGAGTAACAAAAGAAACACATGTAAGATAACAGAATAACAGAATTGGAAGGGACCCTAGTCCAACCCAGGTCTCAGGCAGAAGACCTTATGTCATTCTGGACATATAGCTGTCTAAGTTCTTCTTGAAAATACCAGTGTTGGAGCGTTCACAACTTTTTGAGGCAAGCTGTTCCACTGGTTAATTGTTCTCATTGTCAGGATTTTTTCCTTAGTTCTAGGTTGCTTCTCTCCTCCATTAGTTTCTATCCATTGTTTCTTGCCTTCTTGACTTCTGGTGCTTTGGAAAATAGGTTGACCCCCTTTTTTTGTGGCAGCCCCTCAAATATTGGAACACTGCTATCATATCACTTCAGGATATGACATAGTCCTTCTTTCCACTGGATAAGACATACCCGATTCTTGCAACCGTTCTTCATATGTTTTAGCCTCCGGCCCTCTAACCATCTTTGTTGCTCTTTTCTCCACTCTTTCCAGAGTCTCAATGTCTCTTTTCTAATAGGGTGACCAAAACTGGATGCATAAAAACTTATAACCATGATACTTTTTAAAAAAGTGCTCCAGTTCAGTAGAATTCTTGTATTCTTGGCTTTTCAAGACACATTTAAGTGGACTTAATGAGTTGTTATATTCAACCACAAAAAGACAACAAATACACACGTGTGTGTGAAACTTTTCATTTGGATAGCCTTAAAAGCGACTACGGACATTGTTAGGGATATACACCCTAGCAGAACGTGCAATGGCAGTCTAGCAGACAGGCAGATATGTGAGACAAAACGTTGTAGTAGCTTACACTCAGTAAAACAGATACACTGTGCAAATTAAATAGTTTTTATTCCAGCAAGAGTTATAGCATAGTCAAAACAGTCCATATGTCATACACTAAGTTCAGTCAGTCCGGGGGTTATTCAGTTTGCAAAGTCCAGTGTTGAAAAAGAGGTCAGTAAACTTACAATCAATCAGTCCTGTGATATATCTCTTTTGCAGTCAGAGATATGAAGAAAATCAAACCTCCTTTCTTCTTTCAGCAAACACGCAGTTTATCACCATCAATCCTTCATTGTCAGCATTCCAGTAAAAGCCGAGGAAACAGTGAGCTCTCTTGCTCCCTCTTATGGTGATTTTACAACCGCACCCAAAATACATGGTTTACAGTTTAAAGTGATACATACACTTAAACTCACTAACATAGTTTATATATTATTTTACCCAAACTAAGTTAGGTAACCAATGTTATCCCTAACAGACATAATTAAGAAGGATGGAAATACAGAGTCCCTTCTAAGATTCTCTGCCAATATTAAACCTACATGACTTTCTACTGGACCACATACATTCAGAAACAAGAGCTGAAGCTGGCTTTCTATAAGGTGGCAAGCACTGAATGGTACATCTCTTTGCAAACCCTTTTCCACTCTCACTGTGTCAAATAGTCTTAGTTCCAGGGTAAAAAGCAAACTCCAATGACCCAGAAGCAAAGTGAAGGGAGGTGATTTGCACTCAGTTCAAAAGCACTGGAAATGTCCTTTTTAAAAAAAATTGAGAATAACAATTCTTGGACAAATGTTTAGAATAGAATAGAATAGAATGGAATGGAATGGAATGGAACGGAATGGAACAGAACAGAACAGAACAGAACAGAACAGAACAGAACAGAACAGAACATAATAGAATAGGAGAATTGGAAGGAACCTTGGAGGTCTTCTAGTCCAACCCCCTGCCTAGGCAGGAAACCCTACACCACTTCAGACAAATGGTTATCCAATCTCTCCTTACAAACTTCCAGTGTTGGAACATTCACAACTTCTGGAGCCAAGTTGTCCCACTGATTGGTTGTTCTAAATATCAGGAAATTTCTCCTTAGTTCCAGGGTTGCTTCTCTCCTGGATGAGTTTCCATCCATTGCTTCTTGTCCTTCCCTCTGGTGCTTTGGAGAATAGCTTGACTCCCTCTTCCTTGTAGTAGCCTCTCAGATACTGAAAGACTGCTATAAGGGCACCCCTAGTCCTTCTTTTCCTCAAACTGGGCAGACCCAATCCCAGCAACCGTTCTTTACATGTTTTAGCCTCCAGTCCTCTAAATCATCTTTGGAGAGTCTATGGAGATTCTCAGCCATGCCCACTCTTTCATCCAAACCAAACTGCAAAATGCAATTTCAAATCAGAGGAAACCCAGTCCTTCTCTTTCGTTTACATTTCTCAACACAACAATATTTAACTCATGCTTTTCCCCTTACCATACCGATATATAGAGTCATGGTGGCGCAGTGGTTAGAATGCATCATGGTAGACAAAACTCTGCCCACAGCCTGGAGTTCGATCCTGGCGGAGATCAAGGTTGACTCAACCTTCCATCCTTCCAAGGTCGGTAAAATGAGGACCCAGATTGTTGGGGGCAAGCTGCTGATTCTTTAATAATAATATTTTATTGTCTTTGTACGAATATACACAGTATACATATACAACGAAATTCACATAACACCCAGAGACCAGACCCAACATGCATGCACATATGACAATCCCCAAACACACCCCACCTTCCAAGGTTCCTCATACCCTTAAACACACAAGCATCCACACAACAGACCAAATAATACTGTCCAACAGCTCACTGATGGTGGTCCTTAAGTTCATTGTTAAGTGCAATTATAGCTCTGGGATAAAAACTGTTCAGAAAACATAAACTTCCCAAGGAGTGCTATAAAGCACTGTGGAGTGATATGTCAATTCTAAGTGCTATTGCTATTGCTATATCCCTTTGCTATGGTTTGAGTGGTGCCTGAAAGCATGTTTTTGCATGCTGGTTTTAATCTTCTGTTTTCCTGATAAACACAGAAGTGAGCAAGAGGTGGAGGTGAAACCTTTTGAATTCAATGGACATTTGCACTGAGAGCAACCTGGAGAGGCTAGGCTAACACACCCTCAAATCGCTCTTGGTGATTTCACTGACACATTCATGACTCTCTTTTGGCAGCAATACAGAAATGGCTTTGCCATGAGCTTCTTTACACAGTATTCCATTTTATCTCCACATCTAGCTGAGAGTTTTGAAATTTTTCAGGTGCTTTATGGATTTATTTTTGATCTCTTCTAGCCAGGAACAGCCAGTTGCTACCAGTTAGCGAAGGAGCAGTTAAGGGGGGAAAAAACTCTTCTCAAACTATATTCCTACTGTGGAGAAGAGGTTTAAAACAATTCAAATCCAAATGAAAACCTCCCTTCTGTTCTGTATATGTTACCCTGATTAAATTACTTCAGTGGCTATTTGAGAAACCAGCAGAAAACACACCCACCCACCCACCCACACACACACACGCACAACTGCTCTCCAGCCTCTTTTTCCACTCCAACAGGGCTACTATAGTATTATTACATCATCGTCATTCCTTTTGAATTTTAGCGTGAGCTGATTTAATTTCCAGCAAAGGACAAACTGGCAGGAAATAAACAAATAAATCAGAAGAAGTGTTAAAATTCAACTTGTAAAAACCAATAGCCCAAGCAAGGCTTTTTAACACCACCTCTCTCCATCCCCCGTGTGTGTGGTGTACACACACAAACACATAGAGACAACAGAAGGGTTCATTAAAATGTTCCTGCTAGGGTCTGAATAATTTGAAGAAGGGAAAATAACATTTGACATGGAGGGTACAGCAACAGGAGCTTGACAGTAGTGAGGCAAAACGGCAATGTGAAGCATCTGGGAGAGTTTGTCTCGCGGGAATTTCATGATGAGGCCAACAGAGCTGTCATTTCCCCCGTTGTGTAGGGATTCTTAAATGCCAGCCAAAATCAAGAAGGTCAGCAGAAATAAGAGGGAGAACTAAAAGGAGAGGGAGTGGACACCTGGCCTGGAAGGAGCCATGCCAATGAATACCCCAAGCAACAGATGGATGGTTAAATGGTCAGCCTGGAATCACCAAAGGAATTGAATTCTTTATTGTCATTGTATGTATATACACAGTATATATACAACGAAATTCACATAACACCCAGAGACCAGACCCAACACGCACACACACATGACAATTCCCAAACACCTCCTCACCCGCCAAAATTCCCCTCCCCCTAAAAACACACAAGCATCCACACAACAGACCAAGTAATACTGTCCAACAGCTCACTGATGGTGGTCCTTAAGTTCATTGTTAAGTGCAATTATAGCTCTGGGATAAAAACTATTCAGAAAACGTGTAGTCCAAGTTTTAATTGTTCTGCATCTTCTGCCAGAAGGCAACATTTCACAAAGATTGTGAGCAGGATGTCTCGAAGAATGTTGTGCAACTTCCTCAAACAGCGAGCTGAGAAGATGTCATCCAGGGCTGGTAGCTGGAGCCCAATGATATTCTGGGCAGTTTTAATGATTCTCTGTAGAGTTTTTTTGTCCACTACAAAGCTGCTCCCATATCATGCAAGAATGCTGTATGTCGGGATACTCTCAATGGTGCTGTGGTAGTAGGACAGAAGTAGATGCTGAGATAGATTTATCTTCCTGAGCATTCTCAGGAAGTACAGCCTCTTCTGTGCCTTCTTTACAAGCAAGTTAGCATTCATAGTCCGTGAGAGATCCTCTGAGATATGTGCCCAGAAATTTAAAACTATCAACCCTCTTCACCTCCTCACCATTAGAAGCAATTAGAAGCAAGGATAAAGTGGTGTCTATGCATCTTGGAATAAGAGGACATTGGTGTCCTGCAGATGTGAATATGAAGATAAACATGAAAGGGTTTAAAAGAATGCAGGTGAATTATCATTAAGAAGAATCATTCACCTCCTAAATAATCTCTTTCAGTCTTTTGAATCTTTTCTTCCATACCGCAGTGCTTGCGAAATTAATCTTCCAGAGATGGATTTCCTTTGTCAAATTTCAGATATTGGGAACCAATGTTTTTCAATATTATCTATTGGTAAGCCTGAAACTGTGATATACATGGATGATACAGATAGTCAGGGACCTCGTAGGTCATCTAGTCCAACCCCCCACTGCCTAAGTAAGGGGTTTGATGGACAATCAGTTGCATGTTTTGATTTCACTCCCAATTGAAAGGAAAGGAGGGAGGGAGGAAAGGAAAGACTTTTTTTTTCAAATAACTCATTACTTTATTAGATGATGAATTTTGTAATTATCCTTCTTGTAGGTTCTGAAAGTCAGTTAGCCCTTTATGAAGAGTTGGCTATCGGAGGAAATGGAAGGCAGTTTTCCTCACAACAAAGACAACGTCACCTTCAAACAGAAACATTGTGTTCCCTTGCCTCTGAAACCTTTATAATAAGATTTGAAATGATTTTTGTGTGTGTGTGTAATAGGAAGTGGAAACATAGAAGTTCTGCAGAAGGGAGATGGACAGTCGGGTGGGGAAGGGAAAGGAACTGACAGAGATGGAAAACAATCCTTTTTTAAACAAAGAAAGGTTATCAATAAGAACAAAAGGATTGGATCCCTCACTTGATTGCTGAGGGCACTGCTTTCAATGGCTTTGTAATAATGTCTAGAATGGATTCTTCAATGATTGCTTGTCGGACTGGATCCCCGAGTGAAGATCTGAGTTCAACAATCCAAAAGGCATCTGAGTCTCATTCCATCCTCATCTCTGCTTGTAAATCAATTAATCAATAAACGAGAAAAAGGCAGCATGCCAGATCCATGCTCTGGAAAGGAAGGAAGAAAGAAGGAAAGCTGAGAGAACATAAAAACTTATGAAGACTGAGAAGCAGGGCTAGAGAGAGAGAAACTGGAGAAGAAGAATCTATGTGGGATGAAGCTAACACCGTCAACTCTTAAGATACTCCTAGGAGGTATCCTGCTTCAGTGGCTTCCTGATGTTATTGGATTGGCACCTTGAAAAATCAAGACAGCTGTCAACTCATAAAACATTCCTATGCCTGTTTAAAAAAAAAGGGGGGGAGGAAATCTGGAAGAGCAGTGCAGCAGTTTGAAGGCGAAAGTACATTCCAACTCTTATCTTTAAAAGATTGTAACTAAAATACCAGAACTTTTGCCCACAAATATATTTAATTGGAGAACATGAATTATGACACCCATCCTATGAACGTGCTCAATTGGAGAATCTGGTTTATGAGACACTTAGGAGGGAGTGGGGAAAACAGGGTCACAAATAACTTAAATTACGTATGCCAGAGTTGGCTTCATACAGGGCAGTGCCAGTATGTCACCTCTAATGAATCCTTTGAAGTTTTTTGAAGTTTGGCTCGAGAATCATGATTTAATTAGGGCGATTGCTGGAATCCTGACAACAGTTCTTTTGATCTGATTTTATGTTTATTTATTCCCAATTCTCAGATGGAAGCTAGACAGAGAAGTGTTGTTTTTTTAAATAAATAAATTCCTGGAAGAAAATAACAAGAAAACATTCCTGTACTGCTTGCCAGAAAACTGCATAGATATGTCCATGAAATTTGACCATCAGGCTCAAATTAAAGGCAATATTATCTCCTTCAAATGTCCCCCAAGTCCATAAACACATAGGCACACCATAACCAAGCACTGAGTTGTAGAGATTTTCTTTCCTCCCTCCCTCCCAATACAAATAACCACTGCATAAAAGTCTTGAGAGAGATGATGTTCCAAAAATTATCATTTTCCCAGTTTTGCAAGAGGGAATCCATGATGAACACTTAACAGATGCTGAGCTCAGCTGCAGCCGCTTCCTTAAACCAAATATGGGGAAGCTGAGCCATAGCAACCCAGCAGATGAGTTTCCACCTGAGCTTTGCTGGAGATGGTCTCCGCTGTGAGGAACTCTGATACAACATTATAGAGAACAGGCATCTGGGCTTAAATGCTTCCGATGACTTAAAGAAGCAAAATTTCCTCTGGAAAAAAAAATCAAAATAGGTGGGCAATCGGCAACCTCAAGAGTAACCTACAGCCCTTGAAATCCTTTACTAAACTTCCCCTGGCCTTGCTGCTTAAAATCAGTGGTTTCCTAACAGATTTAGGCAAGAAACTTTCCAGATATGTCATTTCCGTAAACCAGGAAACTAACGGGAAATTATGAAGGTGTTCTTCTTGTGACCTTTAAAAAAAATATTATTTCTATCTTCTTTAAGTCAGTTTGGACTCCTGGCAAACAACTGGACTAGTCCCTGCTGTTTTCTTGTAAGATTTTTAGGAGTGGTTTACCATTGCTTCCTTCCTAGGGCAGAGAGAGAGTGACTGGCTCAAGGTCACCCAGCTGGCTTTCATGACAATGGCAGGACTAGAATTCACCACCTCCTGGTGATTGACCCAAAGTCACCCAGCTGGCTTTCATGCCTAAGGTAGGACTAGAACTTAAGGTCTTCTGGTTTCTAGTCTGGTGCCTTAACCACTGGGTCATACTAGCTCTCTTTGCACTGTGTTGTGAGTCAGCGCTATTCCATTTGCATCACTGCCCTTTCAACATAATTTTTATTCCTCCAACTATATTAAGTATGACCCTGATGCTAAAAGATTGACCAGACTTGGTATAGTTCTTAGTTTGTTCTATCACACTCAATGTTTCTTTAATCTCACATTTCAAAACATACTGGGGAGAGAGGAAGAGAGAGAGAGAGAGAGAGCAGCGGCAGACTGAACCAAGATCTATGCCTTACATTTTCCTTTTTTAATTGTTTGCCAGCAGCTTTAACTGTGACATTTGATGACCTTAATCTTCCTGAGGCCAAACAACATTGACATTTCAGCCAGTTCAGTAAGGACCTGATGCTTCGAAAAACAATGCCCTCAATTATGTGCAGACTTTAGCATTTGGGTTAATGGAGGCCCAAATCTTCTTTCTTAAATGGGAGGTTCACAAAAGCTGCAGACCACAACTGGGCTGATGCTAGGGACATTGGAAACAGAAGCCAAGTCTTTCCCCATCTTCTTTTGTAACCCTAGATATGAGACACTTTGCACGGTCACTTTGCTTATGACCCCAGAGAGATTGAGGTAAATCAGTTTTAAGCTGGCTTAATCTGTGATTTGTGCAATAGGTAGTCTAATGTTGGTTTCATGTTGTGTTTCGTGCAATCCTGGTAGATGTTGGCTTGATATTGTGCTTTGCATATTAAGTGTTTGCGAATGCAACTGTGTCCCTTTGTCAGTTTCCTTTTTCTGCTGCTGTTCATTTTGTTATGCATATGGAGAGCAGGATAGGGAGCAAGAAAAAAGCTGAGCACCCAAAGTGTCCAGAGACCACAGTTTTCTGCTACGTTCTTGGCACAGGAGGAAATTTAGAGCATCTATTTGGCTGATCTAAATAACATTGTAAAAACTCTGGGAAAGAATGGAGAACCCCAAATTCTGCTTGTCTTCCAAGGATGGAAAAGCTGAGTTTGGAACTCAAAATCTCTGTAGAGATTTTGTCCAGCTTATAATATTGTGTGTGTGTGGGGGGGGGAGGGTTGCCAGAAGGTGGTAGGAAAAACATTTATCTGTCTGTCTGTCTGTCTGTCCGTCCGTCCGTCCGTCCGTCCATCCATCCATCCATCCATCCATCCATCCATCCATCCATCCATCTTTCTATCATCTATGTCTGTCTGTCTGTCTGTCTGTCTGTCTGTCTGTCTGTCTGTCTGTCTGTCTGTCTGTCTATCTATCTATCTATCTATCTATCTATCTATCTATCTATCTATCTATCTATCTATTTATTGCTAAGCTTTATTTATTTTTTCTGGATAGGCAAAATCTTTGGCATTTTGTCTTATGAATAATCACCCGTGGTTTATTTTTCTATTGGTATTATGTGCCTCCTTAAAGTCGGGGAAATCAAATGGTACACACAATAATTTGCTCTGTAACTTGTTTTTCAAGGTTTCTGATGAAGGTTGGCCAAATTTATCTCTGTTTTCTTTGAAACAGAAAGCTGTATCTTTTATGCTAGCCACCTAATAGTATAGCCTCCAGAGCTGACGTCTCCGTTTGATCTCCATGTACTGTGTACATTTAATCTAGATATTATACCTGTTTTATCTTCCCTCTGAAATAAATTATAGCCAAATCTCAGAAGCGTATAGCAGGGAAGAAGAGATAAAATATGCACACATTCTCATTGGGCGCTTTGCTAGAACAAATTTCTGGTCCAATATCTTAATTTGCCTTTGATTTTGATGAGGCCATGCATTTTTCAAGGAAAAAAAAAAACCTCATATAAGGTGTTATTTTCTGCTTCTAAATATGACAAATACAGGAGACCCTTGATAGCAGAAGGTCATAAAATCGTTTCCAAAGGCAACAGATTTGGAGGCCAGTCAGAGGAAGTGAAGTGTTGAGACAAGCAATCCATAGTATGATCAGTGTAGTATAAACTTAGGGTTTTATGATTTTGGATTGTGTTCCGGTAAAAGAAAATGGGATTCTGTTCCAACCTATCAACTCAAGGTCATTGTGGTGATGGCTATTCTGAGGGCACCAGGCTAGAAACCAGTAGATGGTGAGTTCTAGTCCCGCCTTGGGCATGAAAGCTGGCTGGTAACTTTGGGCCAATCACCAAGAGAATGGGAGTTCTAGTTCCACCTTAGACATGAAAGCGAGCTGGGTGATTTTG